CCTGATACTTTAGTCACTTAGGTTTATGAAACACACCTGTAGAGACGTGATTCATAAATCTAGGTGACTAACGACTTTTACATATACTTACTTAATACATACAAAAACGATCTACACATAAAAATTGAGCGTCCTGTCATGACATAAGATGACGGTCTGAGGACACCCATTTTAATATCCATACTCTCCAGATTCCCTTGCCTTTATTTATGATACTAAGTGTGTTTCTATTCTTTGTTCCTTCTCTCTTTCGCGTTAGTTCGTTTTGCTCATTCGTTCCTCATCTCCGTGTTCCACCCTGCTCCCTGCTGTCCTCAGAGGAAACGAGCTTACACCCCTCTACATTCCTGAATTCAAAGGGGAGGTAATATTGCTAAATGTCTGGAATCTTTCAAAGAAGTGTCACCACCAATCACTGCAAGACTGTAAAAAACTACTAAAAATTAACTCTCAAACTTTGACAAGCCATTTCTATTGCGAAAATATATTTCATGTATAAATGTATACATAATTTCATTTTATTCGTAAGTGTATTACAAATGTAATTTAATTTAAATACTTAAAAGTTTTAAAAATTCTATAAAAATTAAAAAAAAAACAAAAAACTTTAAAAATACAATGAATTAAATTTTTAGAAAACTCATTTACTGATATAACGAACTAATAACTTTTACCAAAGACAAAACGAAGTTAACTAAAGAATAATCAAATTTACTTCCTGAGTAACAAACAAAATGTATTTTTAAACATTCCACGTAGTTTAATTTTTCGAATTAAACGGATTTCTTACAATAATCGAATCACAATCTTTGTAAACAAGAAAATTGATTTTATGAGATTTAATTTTGACAAAACTATTACAACATAAACATAGACTTTCTGACTTTAAATACTTATTTAAAAATTTCCTTTTAACATAGCGAAAATAATATGAAAAAACGAAAACTTAATTGTGGATCTAAGTCTCGCCTCACTGGCGATAGTTAATGTACTAAATAGGATTTACACGAATTACGTCTGACTAATCTATTTATTTCTTGTAGTTGAAACGAGCATGAAAGGAAGTTTCAAGTTTTCATGAACTGACTTGAAAAGAAGACACACAAAAGATAGAGAATAAAGATGTGGCTAAAATTCTTGATAGCCTGATATATGAAACTGAATGAAGGACCTAAGAGTCTTTACACTTCACTCTAAGGATAACATTCAAGATATTTTGTTATATATAAGAGAAAGATTATATTTACTCTTTTTACGCTGTTAAATATATATATTATATACCAAATACTTATATTATTTGCCTGAAAGTTGGTAGATTTTTATAGCTGTTTTTACTTTTGAAAAACGGAAAAAAAAAGTATTTTTTGCCAGAAAGATATAAAAATTTAATCAAATTTACTAAAAAAAATACATCACGAATTATTTAGTTAGTTAAAATATTGTTTTCTAATCGATTTAATTTAGTGTATAAAGTTAAAATTGATTAAATTAAATTTTTCAAATTATCTGTTAAACTTAAATGAAAAAAAAAGCTCTTCCTATCCAAGATTAAACTACTACGTCTCTTCTCCTCCTCTTCATCTGCCAATAAAATAGTAAACTGCAAGTGTGTAGAAACTTGTTGACATACTAGAAAGAATTCTCAAAAGTAAAGTCATTCAATTTTGGTTTCCTTAAAACTCCTAAATTTTATGGTTCCAAGTAGATAAGGAGAACGAGTTATTGTGTTCTGTAAATTGTTCTAAAAAGAGTGGAGTGTCAACATCTAAGTTTATGTTTTAATTTAAGTTAACAACATTAAACTAATGTTTTTCACCCCTTCTTTTTAGTTGAAAGTTTAGCTTTGTTAAAAGTTAATTAAAATGCATTTATTCGTGTTATGCAAATTTAATTAATTTATGATAAACATAATAAAACTTTTTTTTGTATCAACCAAATATAATTATGTAATAAGCCAATTAAATTTATTTGATAGTTCTTGTGTTATATTTAATTAAATTATAAATTTTTCAAATGATTTTTAATTATATTTTTAATTTAAAATATATGCTCTCCATCTTAGTGTCTTGCTCCTGTACATCATACTTTTCCTGTTAATAATAGAGTCGTTCCTGTCATCTATCTAACTCCGTTCTGGAGAAAATTTTTGAATTGAAATAACGTGCTTACCGGTCGAAACCGGAAGTTCGTAATCGAGGCTCCTGCTCCTAAGCTTTCCATATCCGATCTAGACTTTTATCTACCTAACTCCGTTCTCGAGATTAAGAAAGGGGAGACTGACACCAGTGGAATTTATAGGTCTACAATTTTCGAATTTCAGTCCAAAATGCAATAGTCTCTAAGGCTGAATAAATGCTAGTATAATAATGATGACGATAATAATTTAAGTGAAAAATTTTTCCTTCAGTTTTGGTGAGTCAGAAGTGGTATTCTCTATTGAACTTAATTCTCAATTGTATATATGTCCTGATACTTTAGTCACTTAGGTTTATGAAACACACCTGTAGAGACGTGATTCATAAATCTAGGTGACTAACGACTTTTACATATACTTACTTAATACATACAAAAACGATCTACACATAAAAATTGAGCGTCCTGTCATGACATAAGATGACGGTCTGAGGACACCCATTTTAATATCCATACTCTCCAGATTCCCTTGCCTTTATTTATGATACTAAGTGTGTTTCTATTCTTTGTTCCTTCTCTCTTTCGCGTTAGTTCGTTTTGCTCATTCGTTCCTCATCTCCGTGTTCCACCCTGCTCCCTGCTGTCCTCAGAGGAAACGAGCTTACACCCCTCTACATTCCTGAATTCAAAGGGGAGGTAATATTGCTAAATGTCTGGAATCTTTCAAAGAAGTGTCACCACCAATCACTGCAAGACTGTAAAAAACTACTAAAAATTAACTCTCAAACTTTGACAAGCCATTTCTATTGCGAAAATATATTTCATGTATAAATGTATACATAATTTCATTTTATTCGTAAGTGTATTACAAATGTAATTTAATTTAAATACTTAAAAGTTTTAAAAATTCTATAAAAATTAAAAAAAAAACAAAAAACTTTAAAAATACAATGAATTAAATTTTTAGAAAACTCATTTACTGATATAACGAACTAATAACTTTTACCAAAGACAAAACGAAGTTAACTAANAAATTTGTATGAAATTACTGCGATGTCTACAAGTTATACGTGAAGTTCACACACGATACGTTCTGTGAAACTGGACGTTACGTAATCACCATACTGTACACGTACAGTACTTAGCAAATACTTATGTAATATACTGTAGTGTACCAGTATTAACTAACTGGCCATGACACTGTACACATACAGTATTGATTAAAATTATTATGTAATTATTTTTGTGTGATAATTATTTTATTTGTTGTGTGATGTTTATTTTAAATCCGGCAAAATCTGAAAAGTTCTTGCAAGATTTTCTGGAAATTTTAAATTTTATTATCTGGCAACATTGGTTATACGGTAAACTTTACGCTTGGAAGCACAATCGCTTTGTACACAAGAGACGTGAGATCAGTGTTACCAAGTTCTCAACAAGCTTCGTAATCTGGTGGGAAAATGTGGTTGGTATAGTAACCACATTTTCCCACCAGATTAGGTCAACGTCCCCCAAGATTTTTAGTGATCAAAATTTCCCGTTTTCCAATATTGTAACGTTATTTCCTGATATAATCTTATGGGATCACAGACTTGTATGCGATTGACGTTACAGGACGACTTTATGCACGACTGTATAAATATATGTCTTTGTCGAATAAATTATCCTAATGAGATTCTTACAAATTTTATACTTAGAATCGTATTAAACAATAATCTGTCCCACCATTGGACTAGCGGATAAAACCACTGAAGAGTGGTAGTTGGTCGCGGGTTTGCACCTGATCAGCAGCAGGCTTGCTACAGAAAGGGAATTGAAGTTGTCCGGATTTTCTTCACTTGTCTACTAACTAAATAGAGGCTAATATCCTATAGAAAGTCTTACAGGGAGATATCTCTTGGCAGATCGCCCATGTGTTGTTCTTGTCCATGGCTTGATAAGATACAGCAACATGCGCGATCTGCACACGTTGCGTATCTGATCATATGCTGCTTAGAAACTGTGCCTTTAAAGATTCGTCCGTAAAAAAATTTACGTGCTTTATTCCTTTGCTTATAAAGATTGAAGAATTTGTAGATTTAAGAAAATATTTGTTACAGAGAAATTTATTATTTTAAGAGTAAAGAGTAAAGCATAAATATACGTATAGCCGCGGAAATTGCATCATCCATGGAATCTTATAAAAATGAGTTTACTTTTTAAATCAAAAATATCATTTGGCTGGAAACCTTCAAGAAATTATCATTTATGACATCATTAATATGAGAACACTTTTTATTAGCTGACAAAAATCCACTGCAGCAAAATTTTCAGTATTTGCATCGTTCATTGGACCAAGAACACGTGCAAAGACGGTGTTCTTTTATAAGTTAAATAGAAAATTTTTGACAATTAACACTGCGTAAAGTCCATATTGCTGCTTTGAATATTAAAGGTTATTCTCGTAAAATAGTTCAAATAGTAGTACATTGTTATCAGTCAACAATTATTGTGCTCATGTTACAGGGGAGACGTAAACATAGCAATATTAAAAAGTTGGATTAGGAGGTAAATGAGTGAGTGCTCCACGCCAGAATAAATAGCTGAAGCATCTCAGCCAGTGATAAAGTACTGCTACTTCTTCCAAACTGAAAATAAAATGAGTAGAACGAACAGGTGTAAAAGCAAGTGCACGAACTGGCCACTTCGTCTGTACAACATGGATTCAAAAGTTCTATCATCGATATAAATTATTAATGATGAGTAAAGTATACAGGCAAACGACATATCTAGACTAAACAATATATAAAATGGCGTTAACACGTGAAATTTTTCTATTTTTTCCAATGTATCTAAATTGAACCCTCACACATCTGATGACAAATCCTATGTCAGACGTTGAAAAGGGTTTGGGTATAAAGGGATTGCTTGATGAAACAGTAAAGAAAGTAAAATATTTTTGTGATGCACATTCAGTAAAGACATCGGCAACCACACTTTATAAATGAGTTTGTCAATGCCGAGTGCTATAAAAACATCTTATCTGCCAAGCTAATTCCAATAATTAAGGAACAATTCGTGACACGAAATTCTACATCTTTCAGAATGATTCTACACCATGTTACCGTGCCAAGTTGATGAGTAAAGTATAATGTGTCCCTTCCTTCTCTAGGGTTTGTAATAATTATTTTCACTTAACTGACATACAAATTGTTATATAGAGTAAAAAAGTTCTAGCTGTTTAGATCAGGTACCTAAGCTTTCCAGGTAACAATCCTAATCTCAAGCCTACAGAAAACTGCTGGCATATTATATGCAAAAAAATGGTAAGTTACTGTGACAGTGCTCATTAACAGTATTGATGAGATTGTAGTATGAAATAACATTCAAATACAAAAATACAATCTAGCATCATATATAATAAATTATTTTATTTATTCTTCTTGTTTTTGTTTCAGTACTATCATTATAAATTGAACACTTATATAAGTATTACAGGTAATGCCATTTTCGTGCCTTCTACTCTAACGAGACTATAATTGATTCTATCATTAAAAATAAGAGAAAATTCTTTTTGCTTCTTTAATGTTAAAAATAATTACATTCATTTTACCTTACTTTAATATTGTTTATCAAATTTCACATAATTATCAAATTACACAATTTACGTAAGAAAATGATTAAAGTTTCTAATCGTTGAAAATGTTTATACTTAGCAAACGTTTATTATGTAATTTCATGATCATAAAAGTCGCAATAATTGTATTTTTCGTAATTTGTGTTGTATTTAAATAATATTCTGTTTTATTAGGTTTCATCTTTGAATTGTAGATTTAACATTATAGATTCGTGTGCAACTTCTAAATCTATTCATTCATGAAGACCTTTCTCTCTCCTGTAAAAGAATAATGTTGATGTATTCATTAATGTTTAAACAATACAAAGCATCAAAGCATTATGCAAAGTAATATTTAAACAAATTTTTACCTAAATTTTTATTTCGTATATCATACAATTTAAATTGTACTTTATTAATTAATTTATAGTGTTATTTGCTATTCGTAGAAAATTTATAAAAATTATGGAAATTTTTATTGTAATTTAATTTTTGTTTGCTGAAATTATAATTTTTTCAATAAAAAATAACTTAATTCTATTTTACAATGCAATTATTTACAGTAATTTATTTTTATTCTAAATAAATTTCGATAATAAATAGATTTTTATTTTACTTTAGTGGAAATTTTGTAAATTTTATTAGTTTATTTTAATAATTTTTTAAATTTTATTTTATTTGTGTATAAGCATTATTGTCCAGAAGTTTCTGTAACATGCGATCAATAGAATCTTCTATAAAAACACCGCAACTTTCTTTATATTCTTTCTCCGCTATGTCAATATTCTTTTACAATAATTTTTCTATTGCTTCTGTTGTGCAAATGTTAAAATTAAATCTAAGTTCATTCACATAATCATGCTGTATTTTTTGGTTTTATTTTTCAAAAGAAATCTTCATTTATTTTTTTATCATTTTAATTTTACTCTAAATTAGATACTTGCTGCAGAATCTGTTAAAACAGGGCTGTGAAGTATTATTTATAACTAACGTACAAAATACAGAATTTATTAGATTTTATAATGAAGTTTTTTGAAGAGAAAATTTTACGAAAAATATTTTTAAAAACATGCTTTTAAAAAACTTAGTAATTTGAAACTGCTGCTCCGTGAAGTTTTGATGAAATTTTTATAAGAATTTATTTTAAAAAACCAGAAAAATAATTAATGTGTTTCGTGATTAATTCTCTTCAAAAGTGAGAGTATGTAAAAGTCTTTATTTAATGTAAACAAAGGTTATAAAATGTAAAGAATAAATATTTAAATATATAAAAAAATTACTTTATGAAGAAGTTGAAAGTATATTTAAAGAAAAATTCGTAAACAAGTTTTATTCTTTTAAAATGTATAAAAATTTAAAGTTTACATATAATTTTACAGAGAAACATTATTCCACATTGTATATTAAAGACATAGGATGGTTTAAAAGTCAGTTAACCATTGTAAGAACTATATTTATATTGCATAAAGCATGAGAAACTAAGTTGTACACTTGTCATCGTGTTTAATTAGTGTTCTTCATTGATACCTCCTAATATCTAGCGTTAAAAACGTTCTCTAATTATTACAGAACATTTTCCACGTATAATACAAAAGGTACTGATAAGGAATAATCAAGTAAGCAACTTCATATTCTCAAATATACTGTATTTGCAACAAACAAAATAAAATATGATTAGAATAGCACATTTACCGAACTGGTACATATACCTATTTATAATAAAAACATTCTAAACATTTTGAAGTAAATATTAAATTTAATGATCTTTATACAGATTTGAATAGTTGTTTATATTCAATTAATATTAATGCCTCTTTACGCGTTCACCATTGGCCGAGTGAATAAAAACACTAAACACTGCTAGTTAGTCACGGGTAGGCGCCTAACCAACTGGCCACGTGGAGTTTTCCGGGTTTTCTTCACGAGTGTAACACCTAAATAGGGACCAGTTTCCCATACAAAATCCTCCTGTAGCGCGCTCCTCCTTTATGCTAAAAATTCAACTTTTAAAATTAAAATTCCAATCCACGTCTAAAAGTTGTAGAATTTTTCAAGAAAATCATCAAATTACAACATAAAAATATAAATGTAATATTAATTTGCTTTAAAAACGCCATTACCTATAAAAGATTAAATAAAATTATATAAAGAAGCAATATAATTCTTACACTTACCCAAAAAGCAATAACATTCTTCTCCCTATAAATTAATGAAATTAGAATTTTAAAGAAAAAATTAAAATTTATTTATATATAATCGAGTTAAATAAAGTAATAATAAACTTTATTTATAATGTAATTTTTATTTTTATTTTTTGAAATGCAATTCCTTAAGTCAAAATTCTTAAGAAAATGTATTATTAGAATTGATTATAATTCTTTATTTAAACAGAATTTTATTACGTTTATTTTATAATAATCTTTTATAATCATTGTTTTGTCTGAAACACAAGTCCAAGCGTTGCAGAATTAAATACATTGATCATATAGAATAAGTGAAACAATTATTCATGTTAATTTAATTAAAATAGTTATATTTAATGAATATAATGTATTTAATTCATTTAGTGCCATTAAAATCATTCAAGTTTAAAATTTAGCATCGATATAATATCTCATATATGAAATTGTTCATAATTTAATTGCATCTTATTGGGCATTAACAGAGATTTTTTCATACCTATGTGGATTTGGTCAAGCCCATAATGGGTTTCATTTGGTTTAATCGAGCACTGCAATGGATGATTTGTAAAGGGGGGTGCCTCTCGACAGGACTTTCTATGGGGAACTGACCCCTATTGAGATGTTATACATGGAAAGAAAACCATGAAAACTCCACATGGCTGACAATGTGATGTGGTGCAAACTCGCGACAATTACTATACTATAATGGGGGCACCGGGTGGTGAGACACTGAATCTGACATATTGGAGACTTGCTGCCCATAAAATATGTTCTATCTTCTATTTAAAATAGCTTTCTATATCACTATCTGTATACAGTATTTATATATTGGATAGGAATATGTTAAATTTTATCACATTTTATTTGACAAATAATATTTATCCTCTGAATTTTCCAACATCTTTAATATGAAAAATTCATATATAATTATTAATATTTCATCTAAAAATGTTTATTTAACTGTAGTTCGATATCAGTAAATATATTCGTTGAAAACAGTACAAAATTTAAATTTAAATCTGTTTTTCAATGTAGCGCATTTAATATTAATTTAAGCAATGTTCATATAAACAAGAAATATATGGTTACAATTTAGTTAATTGCTTTGGCAATTTGGGTAATTGCTTTATGGCTTCATATATCGCGACAAACATTTAATATTTATAAATAATCGAGATAAAATGTAAAGTCTAAACATTTAACAAAATTTAAAGAGATATTGGTGACAACGTATGAATATTTTGTCAAATACGTCCCTAATTTTATTCATATCTCTAAATGTATGCTCTTAAATCCTTGTTTATAATATTTCTTACTTTAGACTTCATTTACAAAAATAAACAACCTTTATGACTGGTACAAGAAACAGCATTCAATGGAATTTAGGATTACTCAATGCTTTCAGATAACCTACATAAATTTTCTTCAAAGTTCGACAACGTTTCTTCAAAAATAAAGTGATAATGCAATGATAATAATACAAAGAAAATACAATAATAAAATTCGAGAAAAGATCCAGGAATACAATAAATATGCACAACCTTCGAATTCATTCTGAAGAAGTTTTCAAACTTATTCATCCTCTAGTGATCGAGTTGATAAAATCACTAAACACTGATTACGAGTTCGCACCTCACCAAAGAGAGTTTTGCGAGTTTTCTTCACGTATCTATTAATAACACATAATAGGAGTGTATTTTTCATAAAGTTCACGACACTTAGGCACATAGTCCAAGTCTCGCGTTGCCTTATTCGATCAATCTAATCCATTTGTAATTGGTGTATAAACATAAAGCTTTTTAAAATGAATTAAAAGTTCTATTATTTAATAATTTGTTTAAACGTAAATTGATAAAATTAATTTTTATTAATCAGAGATCTGTTTTTCGAACATTCCTCATGTATGGATTTCATTTTTTGGTCTGGTTGTTTGGAGTTAAAGGAGTTAGAGATACACAGTGTGGTTTTAAAATGCTAACAAGAGAAGCTGCTCAGATTTTATTTCCTGCATTACATGTAGAAAGATGGTAAATTGTAAATCAGTTTTTAATAATGAATTTAATATAATAACTTTACATTGAACTTGCTGTTATTCTTTTATAAATAATCATAAAATCCAGTATGTTAATTTAATTATCTACAATGATAAGCTATTATTACATTAATTAATACTAATTAATAGCTAAAATTCTAATACACTAAGATGCTAATTAATGATTAAAGTCATATTAATAAGTTACTAAAGAAATATAATGGTATATAAATGAAGTATTGTACTAAAATTGTTTGTACATGATATAGATGTATTTTTATTATATCATGTGAATGACACTCAAATTCTTCATAACCAGCTTCTTTTGATTTCATAAAAATTCGTGTTTTCTTTTCCAAATACATATTTTTATAAATGTTTTTATTAATAATTTATTAGTCAGATGATGTGCTGAATTATCAAGCTATGAGTAGGCTAAATGAATAATTAGATACAATGTAATTTGTTTAGAAGTAGGTGGTCAAGCTGCCATCTCATGGCATCTCGATTCTAAATTAAAAATTAATTTATTATAATTATTAAAATTATCATGAGATTGTGGCTTAACTGCCTACCTCTAGACAAATTACTTTATATCTCTAGACAAATTTACTTTATATCTTTATATTTAATTTTGCCAGATCATAGTCCAATAATTTGGCAGATTGTCTGGTTTTAATCAAAAATTGGGTTTCTTGAGTTGTTATTTATATTAATAGTTATATCCAGTATTTCTGTAAAATATATATATATTAAATAAGAAAAAAAATAGCATATATTTGTAATTCAGTTATATTAATAGAAAATTTACTGCTATGGTTATTATTATTGTAATAAAAAATATTTTTTTATAATATCAATGTCATTTTCCTTTAGGAATTTGTTAAGTTTAAAAAATCTTTGATTAGGAAAGTCAAGTAGATTTTGAATTTAACTAAATTGTATATAGTGTATTTTATTCTCATAAATAATTTTTTAAAATAACTTTTTAAGATATTGCTTAATTTTCAGGGCTTTCGATGTAGAACTTTTACACTTAGCACGAGAAATGAAGATTCCAATCAGTGAAGTAGCTGTCAATTGGACAGAGATAGAAGGTATCTATTATTAAGTACATAAACAAGAAAAAATATTATAAAAATTGTTTTTAAACAGAAATATATCATATTTTTAACTATATTGCGCAAATTTAAGAAAAATTTTATCAGACTCAGTATTTAATATTAAAACAAATGTAAAGTTTTATGATATTTTCACACTTTAAAAGAAATAATGTTGGTATTCACAAATTACGTTGATCAAAATATAAATCATAACATATATATTTTTTCAATAGACAAAATTCTTATAGATTAATAATATTGAATTGCAAGAAATTAGAAATCATGCTATTAAAGTATATAATTTGTATTATTTCTCTCTTATTACTGACATTGTCTATACAAAATAATTTGATAAAACTGGAGACAAACAAAAGAAGCAGTACATCTTTTATAACTCCAGCTATACAAGGTGTATTTAACTAGCAGATNTATTTAAAGATGATTTATAATTATTTGAGATATAGGATTTTCTTCTCCTTTAAATAACATTGCCATTGTTATTCGTTCTGGTTCATGAATGCTTATGAAATTCTTTGTTTTATAAGAGGACAATTTTTAACATTAACAATGTTATAGAAGAAAATCCTATATCTCAAATAATTATAAATCATCTTTAAATAATTGAATAAGGAATTTAAATACAAATTTTCGATTGTAATTAAAGTACCCCTTTTCAAAGTTGTATAGAAAAATATTTCTTAGTCCAAATGCAAATAAATTTGCTATGGTGATATCTCAGAACATACAGAAGACAGTTCTGTAAAGAAAAATTATCATCAAAGTTTACAACGAAGCCAAACTTAGTAATTTCTGAGCTGCAATGAAAATATAGTTTCGTCTGTGGGGACATCTAAAAAGTCTGGTTCGTAGAGAATGTGTTGCAAAATTTGCAACACACAGCATCACAGTGCTTGTGAGAAGCGTCACAGAAGATCAATTAGGATACATACTTGAACACACATAAGGTTTTACGCTTTCAGAATGGTGAACGCATTATGAATTCAGTATCCCTTGCATCGCTAAAGTCTCTGTATAGCATGAGTGTCGTGTACAAATAAAATATTTGTTGCTCGCATAAGTGCATGCTAGTGGCAAGTTTTAATACTAATTTTTCTTACTGAAATATTTTGATATGTCCCAAAATGTTACAAAAATTATTACATATACATTACACACACAAAAAAATATTACAATCCATAAGCTAAGATTCTATTGATTTTGAGTAAACATCATAAACTAATAAGATATTCAATGTAATTTTACATAAATTGAATTTCTCAATGACAAATATCATATTTGACTATTTATATGAATGTTTTCTAATTTTAAGATTAAATTAAATCTCTTGAACTCAATAGATTTATAGTATGATGGAATCATTTAATTTTATCTTTGACAAATTACGAAGAGATAGCTTTAAGACATACAAAACTCTCGAGGGAGACGATTCGAATCTAAGTAGCTAATGTTATTTTAGTATACTGCACTTAACCGCTATTACCTTATCTTTCTATCTGTAGAAATCTTTCGAGAAAATTTATATAACTAAATTCCAGATAGTGGAAAATATATAAATATTTACATATTAATTGAAAGAGTGTTTCAGTTTGTCCGACTTAGTTTGAGTAAACGGCTGGGAATAAAATATGGTTTAAATATCAAATTAAAGCTCTAGTCCTATAGATGATGCCGCTGATGTAAGATTTCAGAAAGGGGGCAATGTTTCAGGCGTGGCGAATTGGTAAATGCACAATGTTAAGTCTATGTCGAGGTCCCATCGCCTGTTAACTTTATCCTGGGCAACTTTTTTGTGCTTTGCTGTTTCATTATTGTATATATTGAGATCAATAAATCTACATTTTGGGTACTAAGACCATTGTTTTTATCATCTCTCTTAACTCAACTTCACCAATTCCCCACCCACTCAAAAGCTCCAACAACGCCGTGAATACGTATCTAGTTTTATATACTTCATTCTCATCAGTAGTTTTGTAAAGGAAACAGAATAGAATAGTATGTGGTGAAGAAAGATACAAATTTCTGAAAGGTGATATCACGTGTAAAGATATTGTGTTAATTGAATGCCATGCTTGTTGTGTACTGTTTACACACAACTACTGTAAAAATAAATGAGTATTTTGTAGTCGTTTTAAATGTTAATTAAGATCTCTAAGCTTAATTTTATATCATTTCAACAAGAAAATGATACTACTTCAACATAGAGAAAACAAACTAAAGTTGATACTCAGTCAACTTCAAACAAAATCAGTCATCTTTATTTTTCTTCTATTATCCTTAAAATAAATTACCTATAACAAATAGTGTCGGATTACGCCTCTAGTGGACCCTAGACAAAATTTAAACTGGGACACCATTTAAATAAGTTGCTTCTAAGGAATTATTAAATAATGTCACCAAAATTTTTATACATTTTCTATATATCATTTCGTTTTAAAATTAATGATATATTAATATGTTAATGAAAACTGTAATTAATCTTCTATAAATACGATTGCATTAATTTGTTACTTACATTATTAAAATTTTAATGATACTAAATTTTTGCACATTTTTCATTAACTATGCCTGATAACTCAATATAAATGAAATGTCATAATAAGTATATAAGAATATGAAATATTTATAAATAAAATAATTTTGTAAAACTTAATATAAACAATATTTATGTATTAGAAAAATCAACTGATATTTCTAATATTAATTATAAATTATAAGATGAATCCGTAATAATTTGTGTATAAGCCAGCAAATATGTATTTGTCTCTACGAGAAGAAGTATATTTAACTAAAATTAAAAAAACATTAATTATTATTTAAAGATGATTTATAATTATTTGAGATATAGGATTTTCTTCTCCTTTAAATAACATTGCCATTGTTATTCGTTCTGGTTCATGAATGCTTATGAAATTCTTTGTTTTATAAGAGGACAATTTTTAACATTAACAATGTTATAGAAGAAAATCCTATATCTCAAATAATTATAAATCATCTTTAAATAATTGAATAAGGAATTTAAATACAAATTTTCGATTGTAATTAAAGTACCCCTTTTCAAAGTTGTATAGAAAAATATTTCTTAGTCCAAATGCAAATAAATTTGCTATGGTGATATCTCAGAACATACAGAAGACAGTTCTGTAAAGAAAAATTATCATCAAAGTTTACAACGAAGCCAAACTTAGTAATTTCTGAGCTGCAATGAAAATATAGTTTCGTCTGTGGGGACATCTAAAAAGTCTGGTTCGTAGAGAATGTGTTGCAAAATTTGCAACACAGTATCACACTGCTTGTGAGAAGCGTCACAGAAGATCAATTAGGATACATACTTGAACACACAAGGTTTTACGCTTTCAGAATGGTAAATGCATTATGAATTCAGTATCCCTTGCATCGCTAAAGTCTCTGTATAGCATGAGTGTCGTGTACAAATAAAATATTTGTTGCTCGCATAAGTGCATGCTAGTGGCAAGTTTTAGTACTAATTTTTCTTACTGAAATATTTTGATATGTCTCAAAATGTTACTATACCAAATTTGATTCCATAAACATCTTTTTATACTGCATTAACTAGAGGTACTTAAATTGTGATTACTCGCTATTTCAATTACTATACCGATGAGTTTATACTTCATTAATATTTACACACTACAATTATAAAAATTTTATTGAAGTCATTTATTTATGAAATATGATTCACTGTAAATAGTTTTAGGAATCGTAATTACAACCAAACATGTTGTATTATTTATTTATTTATTTGTTAGGGCATACTGGGAAGAACCCTTGATGCGGGGTATACAAAAATTATTACATATACATTACACACACAAAAAAATATTACAATCCATAAGTTATTACAGAGAAAATTAACATATACATAAATAAAACAAACAAATTATATAAAGATTATAATTGATACCAAAAAAATTATTTAAACAAAATATCCAAATATAAAAAGAAAACAAAATCATGAGGAGAACTAGCCAAACAAAAACAACATTATGAACAAAAATAAATTACACCCACCTATAAAAGAAAAAAGATTAAGTTATCTCGTCAAAATGTGGATAGTCTCCCAAAACTTCTTAGCAACGAACGCACTTTAAAAGGAAAAAGCAAATGACACCTTTGGGCAAAATCGAATACTCTAATATGCAAAAACAAACAAACAAAAATGTACGTCACTCCGTACAGAGGATCACTGAAACAAAATAAGTCAACATAAAATTACCTAAAAAATAATTTAATCTTTTGAACAAAATTAATTAAATCAAAATTATTTAAATTACTAATAAGGTCCAAAACATTCTCAAACAGAATAATAGAGATACCAAAAACACTTTCTTGAATTTTTTCTAAATTAGTACATTTAGCTATCACGTGAAAAGCATCCAATAGCTGATCATCCTGACAATATATGCAAATTTCTCTGCGATAATTCTGTAAAAAATTAAGAGGTACATCTGATTTGCATTACCGTAGAGCTAATATTGAAAGAAAAATTGTTATTGTAAATCGAACAGTCAAAAAAACAAAAAATTGTTTAAGTGCTTATACCAAACATTACAAGAGCTTACATTAAGTAATTCATCAAAGGAAAATCTGTGTTAATACCATTATTAACACAGATTTTCCTTAAACTTTTAGACCACAGAAAGCCCCTCTTATGTAAATTAACACATAACAAACACATTTTACTCCATCGTTTTTCATCCAATTCAATAGTTTTGAAGATCCAATTCAAATACTTATTTAATGTTGTAAAAGACAAAGGTAATAGCGAACACTCCACAAAAATCAGATAACTTGGGGTACAACGAGACAAACCAAATAACTTTTTAATAAAATTAACCAAGACCGGATCTAACTCGTCAGATTGATATCCCCAAACCTCGGATGCATATAACAAAAGATGATGTAGCAATTGAATTAAAAATCCTTAAACAATCTCTCAAATTACGTAATTTAGCCGATCTACACATCTGAATAACTAAT